CTGGATTTTTCTGAGAGTTTGCAGGAATCATGCCCAAGGGGACACCTCATTTGATTTTTATACAATATATACATTTGTAAAAACTGAAATTTGGCAGGCTTACAGTCATAAATGTGGTCTACAAGTGTACCAAGTTTCATCCTGAAGGCCACAAAAATGAAAGAGAAATGAGCCTTGCAAGTTTCCCTATTGGCACTAATGGATTGAATCATGCTGAAACGATAATGAAACTTCGGGATTCAAATTACGAATGAAACGCCTCCCTCCAAATTTTCCTGAAATTAAACGGTGGAGGGGTATCTGAATTTCAAAACAAATTAAAACAAATCTCTGCCATTTCACACACTTCTACTAAATACCTTTCTTTAAATATGGACAATGGGGCCCACAACGTTAGAAGCGAGCACAACAACAAACCTTTAATTTTCAACCCCACCATTCCCAGCCGTTATCTCTTTTTCTCCGCCCCATTTTGTGATGTCATGAGGAAATCTCAGCCAATGAAAAGATGGATTCTAGGAGACCCGTGTCCTGACCAATCAGGGGAAGAAGTAGGGAGGTTTGAATAGCTGTTAAACTGTATAAAATGTGCTGCATTTTCTGTATGAGTTATGTCAGTTTTTTGGCGACTACACTGTTCTGTCATCCTTCTGGCCAGGGGAATAAACCTCTATTATTGCCTGCAAACCTGTTCTTGTTTTTCCTGGCTTTCAAAGTTGCATGGTGGGCTGGGCAACTGAATTACACTGTCCCCTGGTGGCAGATTGCTGATTTTGGTAACATACCCATATAATGCTGTTTAACTGCATTGAACTGGATTTTATGAGTCTACATGCCACCAAAATGTAATGATCGTTTGTGGGATTAACATAACTCAAAAACCACTGGGCAAATTGACACCAAATTTGGACACAATACACCTATCAGGCCAATGAGTGACCATCACTCATAAAAACACTGAAAAACACAGCAGAAGAGACTTAAAAAGCCAAAAAATAAAAATACATTACAACACGTGCGCAACACCACATATATACACAAATATATACACACACATATACACATATATACTCACACAAAACACATACACACAGACTGGGCCACAGCAACGTGTGGCAGGGGACAGCTAGTATATTATATTATTAGCATAGCACATTATTATTATTATTATTATTATATATTACTATATTGTACTATACCACTATACTGCAATATTATTACTAATATTACATGTAATATATAATATACAATTATTCTATTTTATTACTAGTATTGTATTACATTACTTTACTTTACTTACTTACTTAGGGGATCCCTCGCTTTCCGAGGATTATTGTCTTCCAGTGTTCTTGTGGGTCCGTATGTGGCTGTGGAGCCCTATTCTTGCTCTGCATCTTCTTCCGCAGTGAGGGCATTGGTTTCCAGGTGGAAGGCGGTCTCGGTCGGGGTTGGCTTGACGCGCCTTCCTCTTGGCACACTTCTCCCTTTCGCCCTCCATTCGTGCCTTTTCAAATTCTGCAGCACTGCTGGTCACAGCTGACCTCCAGCTAGAGCCTCAAGGGCCAGGGCTTCCCAGTTCTCAGTGTCTATGCCAGAGTTTTTAAAGTTGGCTTTGAGCCCATCTTTAAATCTCTTTTCCTTTCCTCCAACATTCCGTTTTCCGTTCTTGAGTTCGGAGTAGAGGAACTGCTTTGGGAGACGGTGGTTGGGCATCCGGACAAAGTGGCCGGTCCAGTGGAGTTGATGGCGGAGGACCATTGCTTCAATGCTGGTGGTCTTTGCTTCTTCCAGCACGCTGACGTTTGTCTGCCTGTCTTCCCAGGAGATTTGCAGGATTTTCCTAAGGCAGCGCTGATGGAATCGTTCCAGGAGTTGCATGTGACGTCTGTAGACAGTCCACGTCTCACAGGCATATAGCAGGGTTGGGAGGACAATAGCTCTATAAACAAGCACCTTGATATATTACATTATAATATTAGGATCAATATTTTATGTATCTATTTATATAAATAAAAATGTAATGTTCATTTGTGGGATTAACATAACTCAAAAACCACTGGACGAATTGGCACCAAATTTGGACACAATACACCTAACAGGCCAACGAGTGACCATCACTCATAAAAACACTGAAAAACTCAGCAGAAGAGACTTAAAAGGCCAAAAACATTACATTACAATGCATGCGCAAAACCACATATATCTACACAAATATATACACACATATATATACCCACAAAACACATATACACAGACTGGGCCACAGCAACGCATGGCAGGGGATGGCTAGTAGTTTCATATAGGGCTTGCTTAAAACTTAGCAAATTTAAAACACAAAACAGCTTACAACACAGAGTTTCTCTCCCTCAGGGCAATGAGGTGATGACTAAGAAGAGCTGGGTTTCCTTTGTGAATTAGTATAGCAAAAAATAAGTATTATTATTTCAGATATGTCTGCTCTGCTTTTCCACGGGGTTATGAAGGGCAATCCAAGACACGACCAACAATGATGAAGCACAACAAAATTAAAAGAAAAAAGGAAGCAGTATTCAAGTCTCTCGTGGTCCTTTTGTTAGGGAGGAACAGAGGTACAGGGGATACATGTATTAAAACAGCTGACAAATTTTGAGTATCTGAATAGATATTTGAAACCAATGTGGACATATTCTATGCCTCACTTCAGCTCCATAGGATGTTAATGGTGGCATCTGTGGAGAAGGAGCTTTGCAGTCCAAGCTGCAGCTTTGCTGAAGGCGCCAGCAACTTTTTCCTGTTGCAAAATAAGTAAATAGCCTGAGACTAAGAAACAGGAACAGCCTCTAAAAATATTTCCAAAGAGGCCTGTGATGGAGTCTCCTTCTTTCTCTGGAGGTTATTATTAAACAAAAACTTGAATGGGCAGCCACCTGTCAGGAGGACTTTGGTTGCTGTCTAAGTTGTTGGGCACTTTGGATCCCAATCCTGAGAAAAAGCAGGATACTAATACTGATACCTTATAATTGTTGTTGTTGTTGCTGTTGTTATTGCTTCTGTGTGACATGGGTTTAGATGTTATGGCCCCTGAGGGGTGCATTTACACACACAGTAGAAAAGCAGGATACTTATACTGATACATTCTATTATTATTATTATTATTATTATTATTATTATTATTATTTATTAATATTTGAAACACAACAAATAATAATACCACAAGACAGGCCCGTAGCCAGGATTTCGATTCGGGGGGGGGGGGGGGCGGAGTCTGAGTGAAAGAGGGTCTACCCTAGCAAACCTTTTGTATCGTTACCCCAATACCCCCATGCATATGGGATATATTGAGCATGGTGATCAGATCATGATATGAATAAACATAACAGTTTAAATAATGCACCAGTAAGGCCTTTTCGCGAACCACCATGAGAATTGGGGGGGGGGGGGGGCTGAAGCCCCCCAAGCCCCTCCCCCCCCCCCCACCGCCACCCCCCCCCCCCCCCCCCCCCCCCCCCCCCGGCTATATGCCTGCCAGGAGAACATTCTATTCTCTCTCTCTCTCTCTCTCTCTCTTTTGCTTTTTTTCTGGTTCTTCTCTGAAAGGTCCCGCTTTTCTAAAAAGTTATGATCTCCAAAAGGTGTTTTCCTAAAGGTTTTCCAAAAAGGATGCCCTCTAAACTTTATCATAAAATCATATAATCACTGAGTTGGAAGAGACCTTGTGGACCATCTAGTCCAACCCCCTAACAAGAAGCAGGAAAATCACATTTAAAGCACCTCTGACAGATGGCCATCCAGATGGAGCCTCCACCACACTCTGGAAGGGAGGAAGAAATGAAGGAAAGAAGGAGCTTCCTTCATTACTTCCTTCCTTCCCTTTTTTCTCTTTCTCTCCTTCTTTCTTTCATTTCTTCCTTCCCTTTCTTCCTTCCTTCTCTCCTTCCTTCCCTCCCTCCTCTTCCTTCCTCTCTTCTTCCTTCCTTCCCTTTTTCTCTTCCTCCTTCCTTCCTTCCCTCCCTTTTCCTTCCTTCCTCCTTTTCCTTCCTTTCCTCCTCCTCCCTCTTCCCTTCTCCTTCCTTCATTCCTTCCTTCCTTCCTTCCCTTTTTCTGTCTTTCTCTCCTTCATTCCTTCCTTCCTTCCCTCCTTCCCTCCCTACTTCCTATGACTTCCCCTCACATTTTTATACATGGTTATCATGTCTCCTCTCAGCCTTGTCTTATCCAGTAATGAAGGAAAGAAGAAATGAAGGGAAGAGGGAGGGAGGGAAGGAATAAAGGGAAGGAAGGAAGGAAGGAAGGAAGGAAGGAAGGAAGGAAGGAAGGAAGGAAGGAAGGAAGGAAGGAAGGAAGGAAAAAAGGGAAGGAATGAAGAGGGAGGGATGGAGGGAAGGAAAGAAAAAAAGAGAAGGAAGAGGAAAGAAGGAAGGAAACAGGGAGGGAAGGAAGGAAGGAAGGAAAGAAAGAAGAGAAGGAATGAAGAAAAGAAGGAAGGAAAGAGGGAGGGAAGGAAGGAGGGAAAAAAGGGAAGGAAGGAGTGAAAGAAAGAAGAAAGGGAGGAAAGGTTTGCCACAGCAACGCGTGGCGGGTACAGCTCGTCATTAATCAAGAGGTTGAAGAGTACTGAGTAGGGCGAGGGCCTTCCCCGCCTCTGGTTGTGATCCCCAGGCTGGGTGTGCCAGCCAGCTTTCCTGGATATCCTTCCTAGCACCCACTTTCTGCTTGATCCTCAAGCATGCTTTGGGAGATGAGCTGTCCCCTGCTGCCATGCCTCAAGGCTGTTGCGCTCCTGGGAGTGGTAGTTTGCTGGAAAGACTGCACAGAACTTGAAAAGCAACCCCTCCAAGGGCTCCCTCGCCCCGAGCCATGGCAGGCCAAGGGGTGCCTTGCCTTGAAGGCGGGGAGGAGGAGGAGGGGGGGGCACTCAACTCAGAGCCAGAAGGGAGACCGGTTCTCCTTCCCGCTGAAGGGTTGCCTGTGGCCAGGCTCCACCCAGAGGCAGCAGCGCCTCCCCTCCGCCTGCGTGCCTGTGCTGGGCGACTTAGCGGGCAGGGCAGGCACCTCGCCTGGCCAGGGATGGAGGCAGAGCCGCCTTGGCGCTCCAGAATGGGAGAAGGAGCCCCCGGAGGAAGAGGAGGTTGGTCATCTGGCAGGAGGGATTTGTGGCATTGAATAGGGGGGCCTCCTTTGAGAGAAGGGAGAGGGAGCCTCATTTGAAGGAGAGGGTGACTCTGAGCAGGAAGAGGGTGCCAAGGCTGGGAATGGGATGAAGAGTCTGCCAGGGATCCTTAAATTGGAGGCATCTCCAAACTGTGTTGACCAGAGACCAGGCATGAACATGGGCCAACTTTGGCTTTCCCTCCAGGTGTTTTCTTTCCTTCTCTCCTTCCTTCCCTTCCTTCCTTCCTTCTCTCCTTCCTTCCTTCCTTCCTTCCTTCCTTCCCTTCCTTCTCCTTTCCTCCTTCCTTCCTTCTTCTTCCTTCCTTCCCTCCTTCCTCCTTCTTCTTCCTTCCTTCCTTCCTTCCTTCCTTCCTTCCTCCTTCCTTCTCTTCCTTCCTTCCTTCCCCCTTCCTTCTCTCCTTCTCTCCTTCCTTCCTTCCTCTTCCTTCCTTCCTTCCTTCCTTCCTTCCTCCTTCCTTCCTTCCCTCCTTCTTCCTTCCTTCCTTTCCTTCCTCCTTCTCTCCTTCCTTCCTTCTTCCTTCCTTCCTCATCCTTCCTTTCTTCCTTCTCTTCCTTCCTTCCTTCCTTCCTTTCTTCCTTGCTCTCTTCCTTCCTTCCTTCCTCCTTCTTCTCCTTTTCCTTTTTCTTCCTTCTTCCCTCCTCTTTCTTCCTTCCTTCCTTCCTTCCTTCTTCCTTCCTTCCTTCTCTCCTTCCTTCTTCTTCCTTCTCTCCTTCCTTCTTCTTCCTCCTCCTTCCTTCCTTCTTTCCTTCCTTCCCTCTCTCTTTCCTTCCTTCCTTCCTTCCTTCAACTCCCACAAATCCCAAACAGCCGGCAGGATACGAATACTGATACTTTCTTCTATTATTATTATTATTATTATTATTATTATTATTATTATTATTATTATATACGCAACAAGAGTAGTACTCTGCAAACAAGATCACCATGTTGTATTTCATCACATGTAGGACACTTCCCAAATATCTAGGACTGTGTTATGTATTGGCAAATAATGTGTGCAGATCTGAGTAGGGTGGCCTTTTGCAGCTAACAGGTGGTAATTTTATCAGCACCGCTTGTTTTTAAGTGCAGGCCAGGGTCTTTAGGCACTGCACCCAGTGTGTCGATCACCACTTGGACTACCTTTACTGGCTTGTGCCAGAGTCTTTATTATTATTATTATTATTATTATTATTATTACAAATACAAAACTTTATTATGGTCACTAACCAGCGCAATTATTATTATTATTATTATTATTATTATTACAAATACAAAACTTTAGTATGGTCACTAACCAGCGCAATTATTATTATTATTATTATTATTATTATTATTATTCCTTCTGCATGCCATGGATTTGGGTAGGATGGCCCCATAAGGGGTGCAGAATAGAAACGCAGAATACTGATACTTTCTTCTTCTTCTTCTTCTTCTTCTTCTTCTTCTTCTTCTTCTTCTATTATTATTATATTATTCCTCCTACATGCCATGGATGGATGGGATGTCCCTTGAGGGGTGTGTCTAGTAGAAAAGCAGGATACTAATACTGATACTTTCTGTTGTTGTTATTATTATTATTATTATTCCTCCTGCATGTCATGGGTTTGGATAGAATGTTCCCTGAGGGGTGTAGAATAGAAAAGTAGAGCACTGATACTTTCTTCCCCTTCTTCATCTTCTTCTTCTTCTTCTTCTTCTTCTTTATTATTATTATTATTATTATTATTATTATTATTATTATTTTACTGACACAAAACCACAGTATGTCACAGCAAACGAGATCTATATGCTGGATTTCGTATCACAAAATCACAAGTTGAACACTTCCCAAGCGTCTAGGACTGTGTGATGTATTTTCGAATGATGTGCGCAGATCCAAGTAAGGTGGCTATTATTCTAGGACTGTGTGATGTATTTTTGAATGATGCTTGCAAATCCAAGTAAGGTGGCCTTTTGCAGTTGTTGTCGTTGTCGTTATTATTATTATTATTATTATTATTATTATTATTATTATTATTATTATTATTTGAAACACAACAAGATGAGTCCAAGGCAGACAGAATCACTCTGCTGGCTGTTGAATTGGATCACACTTCGGACACTTCCCAAGTGTCTAGGACTGTGTAATGTATCGGTGAATAATGCGTGCAGATCCCAGTAGGGTGGCCATTTGCAGCTGGCAGATGGTAATTTTGTCAGCGCCGATTGTGTTTAAGTGCAGGCCAAGGTCTTTAGGCACTGCACCCAGTGTGCCAATCACCACTGGGACCACCTTGACTGACTTGTGCCAGAGTCTTTGCAGTTCAGTCTTTAAATCCTCATATCTGGTCAGCTTTTCCAGTTTTTTCTATTCATACATTCATTATTATTATTATTATTATTATTATTATTATTATTATTATTATTATTTTACTGACACAAAAATACAGTATGTCACAGCAAACGAGATCTATATGCTAGATTTCGTATCACAAAATCACAAGTCGGACACTTCCCAACCGTCTAGGACTGTCTGATGTATTTTTGAAGGATGCACGCAGATCCAAGTCAGGTGGCCTTTTGAAGTTGACAGATCATGATTTTGTCGATGTTTATTGTTTCCAAATGCCGGCTGAGATCTTTTGGCACGGCACCCAGTGTGCCGATGACCACTGGGACCACCTGTACTGGTTTATGCCAGAGCCTTTGCAGTTCAATTTTGAGGTCCTGATAACGGCTGAGTTTTTCCTTTTGTTTTTCCTCAATGCGACTGTCATCTGGTATAGCGACATCAATAATCCAAACTTTTTTCTTTTCCACAATCGTGATGTCTGGTGTATTGTTTTGAAACACAACGAGATGAGTCCACAGCAGACACTCTGCTGGTTGTTGAATTGGGACACCTCGGACACCTCCCAAGTATGGATTGTTGATGTTGCCAAGTATGGATTGTCGACCAACCCCAGAGATCTCTCCGTTCTGAGGACCAAGATTTATTGAAAGTTCCCAGTTTTAAAACCTTGTGTCTAACAGCAACTAGACACAGAGCCTTTACAGTAGTGGCACCATCGCTCTGGAACACTCTGCCACCAGAAGTTCGTGCCTTGCGGGACTTATCAGTCTTCCGCAGGGCTTGTAAGATATATTTGTTTCAACGGGCTTTTGACCTTTGATCTGTTGTTTTAATGTGTGTTAGATTCCAATTTGTTTTGTAAGCCGCTCCAAGCCCTAGGGGAGTGGCGGCATATAAGTTTGAATAAATAAATAAATAAATAAATAAATAAATAAAGTGTCTAGGACTGTGTGATATGTTGGCGAATAACGCGTGCAGATCCCAGTAAGGTGGCCTTCTGCAGCTGGCAAATGGTAATTTTTGTCAGCACATATTGTGTTTAAGTGCAGACCAAGGTCTTTAGGCACTACACCCAGTGTGCCGCTCACCACTGGGACCACCTTGACTGGCTTGTGCCAGAGTCTTTGCAGTTCAATCTTTAAATCCTCAAATCGTGTCAGCTTTTCCAGTTGTTTCTCTTCAATCCTGCTGTCACCTGGGACTGCAACATCGACAATCCATACTTTTTTAACATGATCGTGAGGTCACGATTATTATTATTATTATTATTATTATTATTATTATTATTATTTCTCCTACATACCATGAGTTTATATTTATTTATTTATCGTGTCAGAAGCAAATTGAGAATACAATCGTAATACATAAAAAAACCCCACAAACACAGTTAAAACTCTCCAGAGAAAAGGTAGAGAATGTGATGAGTATGTGAGAGATCCTTTGGCGGGATCTTCAAACTGTATTACCCTGACTTCAATGCACAGACCAGGCATTGGCATGGACCAACTTTGGCTTTCCCTCCAGGCGTTTTGGACTTCAACTCCCACAAATCCCTAACAGCCAGTAGGCTGTTAGGGATTGTGGGAGTTGGAGTCCAAAACGCCTGGAGCAGTGGTTCTCAACCTGGGGTCCCCAGATGTTTTTGGCCTTCAACTCCCAGAAATCCTAACAGCTGGTAAACTGGTTGGGATTTCTGGGAGTTGTAGGCCAAAAACACCTGGGGACCCCAGGTTGGGAACCACTGCGGAGGAAAAGCCAAAGTTGGCCCATACCTGGTCTTTACATTGAAGACTGGTTAATACAGTCCAACCCTAATAATAATAATAATAATAATAATAATAATAATAATAATAATAATAATAATAATAATACGAATTCTAGAATCCTATCAGCCTGTGCATCTCTCAAGTTGGGGAATGTTTGGTATATAGAAGGGGGAAAGTACATAGATAACAGTTGGGTTTGGAGAAGTACTAGCTGGTCTTGCACCAGTGTGTTTCACAATACGTGCCTACCATACCGTTCTGCAAACTGAAGGATGTGAGCTGATTAACACTGATGTGGTAATAGAGTTCGCATAGCTAAAAACCTGCTTTGAAAAAATCTAAAGATAATTGAGGAAGCTGCGCTAAACAGGAACATCTGGTTTAGGCTACACGGCAGTAACCTAAATATTTTGGTTTATCAGTGCAGATATCTTTTGGATATAGAAGCAACTCTCACTTGGATTCTCCATTTTGCCATTTTAGTGTGCTTTGGGTTAAGGCAGGAACAATAATAGTCCAAGATCTACATTATTGTGAGATAATTTGCTTCGCATCCAACATTGTCACACAAGATCTTTCCTCTGGTGGCGCAATGGGTTAAACCCCTGTGCGGGCAGGACTGAAGACCGACAGGTCGCAGGTTCGAATCTGGGGAGAGGCGGATGAGCTCCCTCTATCAGCTCCAGCTCCTCATGCGGGGACATGAGAGAAGCCTCCCACAAGGATGATAAAAATATCAAATCATCCGGGCATCCCCTGGGCAACGTCCTTGCAGACGGCCAATTCTCTCACACCAGAAGCAACTTGCAGTTTCTCAGGTTGCTCCTGACACGACAAAAAAGTGGCAAATTTCAACTCTTATTATCCATAAAAGT